CGCTCAAGTGTCGCGCCAGACTAGAAATAAAAATGAATATATATATATATATATATATATATATATATATATATATATAAATATATATATATATATATATATATATATATATATATATATATATATATATATATATATATATATATATATGTCGTACCTAGTAGCCAGAACGCACTTCTCAGCCTACTATGCAAGGCCCGATTTGCCTAATAAGCCAAGTTTTCATGAATTAATGTTTTTTCGACTACCTAACCTAACGTAACTTTTTCGGCAACCTAACCTAACCTATAAAGATAGGTTAGGTTAGGTTAGGTAGGGTTGGTTAGGTTCGGTCATATATCTACGTTAATTTTAACTCCAATAAAAAAAAATTGACCTCATACATAATGAAATGGGTAGCTTTATCATTTCATAAGAAAAAAATTAGAGAAAATATATTAATTCAGGAAAACTTGGCTTATTAGGCAAATCGGGCCTTGCATAGTAGGCCGAGTACGACGTTCTGGCTACTAGGAACAACATTATATATATATATATATATATATATATATATATATATATATATATATATAATATATATATAATATAGATGTCTAGTTATAGCAGTAGCCTAATGTCTTAGATTTCAAAAAAACATCCTTGTATGTTTATTGTAAGTAATGCTACATCCATGCTATATAGATAACATTATGTGGACCATGTTAGAGAGTGTATACATTTAGTTTCCATATGTATTCATCACATGTATACTGAGAAGATTCCATATTAGTGTTGCACCTTGCATTACGCATTTGTCCTGACATTATGAAATTATGGCACTGTGAACTGTTTTCCACTTATACAATTTTATGATACACATGTTGTATATATTTATTATCTTTGTATGCAGCATATGTATGACCGTTGGCGTATGTCGTTGAATCCTCCCTAACTCCCCCCCCCCCCCTTCCCTCTTCCCCAGTGAAGTACGGACTCTGCCAGTGTTGCCATCTCGTATCCATACTAATTCTTTGTGTACTTATTTTACATTTCATGATAATTTTTTTAATGTATCGAATTGCTATTATATATCATTATGTAAGGTTGTGCCTTATACTCTTTAAGTTGTTGTATAGCGAATTAGAAGTTCCTGAATGAGTTTATATTGTAAATGAGTTAGAGAGATTTGAAAGTTGAAGGTCGGTTGACTATTTGGAGTTGGTAAAAGTGTCGCCTCTCAGCAAGCTTGCCTCAAGACGTCACTGTTCTTTGATCTCCTCAGGCGAGCGGACGTGTTAGGGTTTTGTCCGTGATTTGTGACCTTATATTGGGGTATTGTGCCTGCTAGATGTTAATCATGTAACTGTATGTATTTATATGGATCATTTTCTGCTGTTGTCCATTATGTATACCAGGCGGTAGGTGATTATTATATGTCTTAGTGAGGTGATATATTTTGAGGAACTTGTGAAATGCCAAGGTGCTGTATGTGATATTATTCCTCTTACCTCACGTGTTATTGGTTGACACACCACCATCCTTGTTGGTATTAGTAGCATATAGACACTATAGTGTTCCACTGTGCTAGGCAAAGTTCCTGGTGTCAGCTAGTGTTGATTGATGCAGTGTGCAGACCTGTATTTGATGTATCATGCCCAGTTGTTGAGAAGCTGGATATAGAGTATTGGTGATATGTGTGTGATATTAGTAGTGTGTTTTATTTATTACTGTTGTGGAAGGTTCTTAATGCCAGTAAACTGGAATATTTGTTGTTAGCTTTTTACTCTCCTAGAACCTTGAGTGATATGTGGCCAGGCTATGTGTTCCAGTGATGCTGAAGGTTACTACCTTAAGATATGTATATGGAGATTATATCTCCCCGACCATGACAGTCCCTTTGTTCGTGTCCCACCCGTGCTGAAGAGTTTGTCTTTGTCCACCCTGTCACTTCCCCTGAGAATTTTGTATGTGGTTATCATGTCTCCCCTTACTCTTCTGTTTTCCAGGGTTGTGAGGTTCAGCTCCCTTAGCCTTTCCTCGTAGCTCTTTCCTCTCAGTTCCGGGACAGGCTGGTGGCATACCTCTGAATCTTCTCTAACTTCGTCTTGTGTTTAACTATGTATGGACACCAGGCTGGAGCTGTATACTCCAGGATTGGTTTTACATAAGTGGTACACAGAGTCCTGAACGATTCCTTACACAAGTTTCTAAAGGCAGTTCTTATATTGGCCAGTTTAGCATATGCCGCTGATGATATCCTTTTGATGTGTGCCTCTGGGGACAGATTCGGTGTGATATCGACCCCAGATCTTTCTCTCAATTTGACTCTTGCAGGATTTCACCTCCCAGATGGTACCTTGTTTTAAGCCTCCTGCTCCCTTCGCCTAATTTCATTACTTTACACTTTCCTGAGTTGAACTTTAGCAGCCATTTTCTAGACCATTCCTCCAATTTGTCTAGGTCGTCCTGTAGTCTCTGTCCATCTATATCTGTTTTGATTCTTCTCATAATTTTGGCATCATAAGCAAACATTGAGAGGAATGAGTATACCCTCTGGATGGTCGTTTACATATACTAGAAACAGGATGGGTCCAAGTACAGAGCCCAGTGGAACCCCGCTGGTGACATCTCGCCACTCTGATGCCTCCCCCCTCACCGTTACTCGCTGAATCTCGCTAGGTGTTGCTGGGCGTCGGTGTGGCTGGGTGTCTGTGGGGCTGGGCGTCTGTGTGGCTGGGCGTCTGTGTGGCTGGGCGTCGGCGTACTTAGCTAGTTGTGCTTGCGGGAGTTGAGCTCTGGTTCTTTGGTCCCGCCATTAAATAGTTAATCAACTGATGTTCAGGATCCTGAGCCTATTAGGCACTATCATATATACATTTGAAACTGTGTATGGAGTCTGCCACCACGACATCACTACTTTTTTCATTCCATTTGTTAACTACTCTGACACTAAACAAATTCTTTTTAATGTCTCTGTGGCTTATTTGGTCACTAAGTTTCCACCCTTTGTCTCCCTTGTTCGTGTCCCACCCGTGCTAAAGAGTTTGTCTTTGTCCACCCTGTCAATTCCCCTGAGATTTTTGAAGATTGTTATTTTGTGTCCCCTTACTCCTCTGTTTTTTTACGGATGTGACGTTCAGCTCCCGTATCCTTTCCTCGTTGTTCATACCTCTCAGCTCCGGGACCAGTGTTGTGGCATACCTCTGAATCTTCTCTAAAGTTGTCTTGGGTTTAACTAGGTATTGACTCCAGGCTGGAGCTGCATACTCCAGGATTGGTCTTACATAAGTTGTATACAAGATTCTGACAATTCCTTACACAAGTTTCTAAAGGCAGTTCTTATGTTGGCCAGTCTAGGATATGCCGCTGATGATATTCTTTTGATGTGGGGCCTCTGGGATGAGGTTCGGTGAGATATCAACCCCCATATCCTTCTCTATATTTGACTACTGCAGGATTGCTCCTCCTAGATGGTACCTTGTGTTCAACCTTCTGCCCCCTTCGCCTAATTTAATTTCTTTACACTTTCCTGGGTTGAACTTTAGCAGCCATTTTCTAGACAATTCCACCAGTTTGTCCAGGTCGTCCTGTAGTCTCTGTCTATCAGCAAACATTGAGAGGAACGAGTCTATACCCTCGAAGATTGTTTACATATATTAGAAACAGGATGGGTCCAAGTACAGAGCCCGTTGGAACCCCATTTGTGACATCTCGCCACTCTGATGTCTGCCCCCCTCTCCCTTATCCACTGGAGCACCTTACCTTTTACTCCTTTCCCGTTACTCCAACTTTTGCAACAGCCTTTTGTGAGGTACTGTGTCAAAGGCTTTTTGACAGTCCACGAAAATGCAGTCTGCCCATCCTTTTCTTTTTTGCCTAATTTGTGTTGCTTGGTCATAGAATTCTATTAAACTTGTGAGGCACAATTTACCATTTGTGAACTCGAACCCATGCTGGTGGTGTGTTACAAAGCTATTTCCCTCCAGATGCTCTAAGAGTCTTTTCCTCACGATCTTCTCCATCACCTTGCATGGTATACAAGTTAGGGATACTGGCTTGAAGTTCAGCGTCTTTTGCCTGTCACCCTTTTTATATATTGGGACTACATTAGCTGTCTTCCAGCTTTCCGGTAGGTCTCCTGTTTCCAGTGACCTGATATACACCATAGAGAGTGACACACTAAATGCTTCTGCACCTTATTTCAGTATCCACGGTGAAATTCTGTCAGGCCCAACAACCATTGTCATATTCAGCTCCAACAGATTCCTTTTGATCTCATCACTAGTGAGGTCAAATTCTTCCAAGGTTGCTTGGTTTGCCTCGTCATTTAGTGCAGGGGCTTCTCCTTGTTCTATTGTGAAGACCTCCTGGAATCTCTTGTTGAGTTCTTCACACACCTTGTCATTCTCTGTGTATCTGATCTTCCCTTTGCTCACTTTCATTACTTGTTCCTTCACTGCTGTTTTCCTCTTGATGTGACTGTAGAGCAATTTTGGTTAGGTTTTAGCTTTACTCGCGATGTCATTTTCATTCTGTTTCCCTGCTTCTCTCCTCACTCAGCAACCTGTCCTCTTAAAAAGAACGTTGCTTTTGGCCGTTTGCCCGTATGGCCGAATATGGACGTAATTTGAAAATGAAAATAAATTGAAAATAAATTTGGGATTTTTTCTTCAACAACAGTAAGTTAAGGGTCCTCTGATAGGTTAGGTGGGCAGGAAATTCTCATAAAGTTTCAAAACGTTATGAAAAACGTTAATTGAAAATTCCTCTTCTAAGCTGTCCGAGGAGGGCCGGACGACTCAAACAGAAAACGGAACAGTACGTCACTTTTGTGAGTCGATTTCATTTCAAATTACGTCCAAATTGGGCCATAGTGCGCATACGAGCCAAAAGTGACGTTATTTTTAAGAGGACGGGTTGCACTCTGAGGTACTCATTTCTGGCCCTCTGGTATCTCTCCCTGCCCTCTGGTGTTCTGTTGTTCCTGTAGTTTCTCCATGTTCTTTTACGCAATTGCTTCGCTACCTTACGTTCCTGATTGAACTTGAATGGTGTGGCTGGGCGTCTGTGTGGCTGGGCGTCGGTGTGGCTGGGCGTCTGTGTGGCTGGGCGTCTGTGTGGCTGGGCGTCGGTGTGGCTGGGCGTCGGTGTGGCTGGGCGTCGGTGTGGCTGGGCGTCGGTGTGGCGTCGGTGTGGCTGGGCGTCGGTGTGGCTGGGCGCGGTGTGGTGGGCGTCGGTGTGGCTGGGCGTCGGTGTGGCTGGGCGTCGGTGTGGGGCGTCGGTGTGGCTGGGCGTCGGTGTGGCTGAGCGTCGGTGTGGCTGGGCGTCGGTGTGGCTGGGCGTCGGTGTGGCTGGGCGTCGGTGTGGCTGGGCGTCGGTGTGGCTGGGCGTCGGTGTGGCTGGGCGTCGGTGTGGCTGGGCGTCGGTGTGGCTGGGCGTCGGTGTGGTTGAGCGTCGGTGTGGCTGAGCGTCGGTGTGGCTGGGCGTCGGTGTGGCTGGGCGTCGGTGTGGCTGGGCGTCGGTGTGGCTGGGCGTCGGTGTGGCTGGGCGTCGGTGTGGTTGAGCGTCGGTGTGGCTGGGCGTCGGTGTGGCTGGGCGTCGGTGTGGCTGGGCGTCGGTGTGGCTGGGCGTCGGTGTGGCTGGGCGTCGGTGTGGTTGGGCGTCGGTGTGGTTGAGCGTCGGTGTGGCTGGGCGTCGGTGTGGTTGATGGGACTCAACATAGGGGTACGGACTGGACCGGGTGTGTTGTTGTTTCGCCTACATGTCTGTTAAGATTCTTTTAGTGTTATGTTCTAGATATGAAGCATCCACCAGCCTGAGAACATTGTAGTTAACGATTAAGTCGACGGAGTGGAGGCAGCTTACTGCTAGATTAATCGGTTGCTCTTCCAAAATGTTCCTTCAATTTCTTTTATAAATAAAATAATTCAGATTTTACTTATTGAAGATAGGAAGGGTTATTAATACCTACATCCATTCCAGTTTGCCTTCGGCACAATTCCAAGAAAATTTCACAATTCTTTTCCTCGTCTAAATAAAATGGAGTGAAAAATATATATAAACTGCAACCGTGAGTGCGTTCCTTGCCCCTCTACACTCCCTGAGAGCACTACACACCTCCCTGAGAGCACTACACACCTCCCTGAGAGCACTACACACCTCCCTGAGAGCACTACACACCTCCCTGAGAGCACTGCACACCTCCCTGAGAGCACTACACACCTCCCTGAGAGCACTACACACCTCCCTGAGAGCACTGCACACCTCCCTGAGAGCACTGCACACCTCCCTGAGAGCACTGCACACCTCCCTGAGAGCACTGCACACCTCCATGAGGGCACTACACACCTCCCTGAGAGCACTACACACCTCCCTGAGAGCACTACACACCTCCCTGAGAGCACTACACACCTCCCTGAGAGAGAGCACTACACACCTCCCTGAGAGAGAGCACTACACACCTCCCTGAGAGAGAGCACTACACACCTCCCTGAGAGAGAGCACTACACACCTCCCTGAGAGAGAGCACTACACACCTCCCTGAGAGAGAGCACTACACACCTCCCTGAGAGAGAGCACTACACACCTCCCTGAGAGAGAGCACTACACACCTCCCTGAGAGAGAGCACTACACACCTCCCTGAGAGAGAGCACTACACACCTCCCTGAGAGAGAGCACTACACACCTCCCTGAGAGCACTACACACCTCCTGAGAGCACTACACACCTCCCCCGCCAAACAGACACCGAAACTACGACACCTGCAACGTTGAGAGAGAGCACTAACAGTTATAACAACCAATATAGCAAGTTGTAACAACCTGATAGTCATAAGCACTAGCCAAGACACAACCCTATTAGAGTTGTAACAAGCGGAAACTAGACACAGTTTCCCTGAGAGAGAGCACTGAGAGCACTACACACCTCCCTGAGAGCACTACACACCTCCCTGAGAGAGAGCACTACACACCTCCCTGAGAGCACTACACACCTCCCTGAGAGAGAGCACTACACACCTCCCTGAGAGAGAGCACTACACACCTCCCTGAGAGAGAGCACTACACACCTCCCTGAGAGAGAGCACTACACACCTCCCTGAGAGAGAGCACTACACACCTCCCTGAGAGAGAGCACTACACACCTCCCTGAGAGCACTACACACCTCCTGAGAGCACTACACACCTCCCTGAGAGAGAGCACTACACACCTCCCTGAGAGAGAGCACTACACACCTCCCTGAGAGAGAGCACTACACACCTCCCTGAGAGAGAGCACTACACACCTCCCTGAGAGAGAGCACTACACACCACACCCCTGAGAGCACTGCACACCTCCCTGAGAGCACTGCACACCTCCCTGAGAGCACTGCACACCTCCCTGAGAGCACTGCACACCTCCCTGAGAGCACTGCACACCTCCCTGAGAGCACTACACACCTCCCTGAGAGCACTACACACCTCCCTGAGAGCACTACACACCTCCCTGAGAGCACTACACACCTCCCTGAGAGCACTACACACCTCCCTGAGAGCACAACACACCTCCCTGAGAGAGCACAACACACCTCCCTGAGAGAGCACAACACACCTCCCTGAGAGAGCACAACACACCTCCCTGAGAGAGCACAACACACCTCCCTGAGAGAGCACAACACACCTCCCTGAGAGCACTACACACCTCCCTGAGAGCACTACACACCTCCCTGAGAGCACTACACACCTCCCTGTGTCGGAAAATCCGACACCATTTAATACATCATACAGACAGATAATAGCTGTGTTGTATAAATAAGTTAACTCATAGAAAACGTAACTTGTAGTGGAATTACCGTCTATAGAAAACGGGATATCATTACCACATACTATTATAATTCACCACCTATTATGGTGGGAATTATTCTTAAATACATTAGTCTTTGGACTTTACCATCATAAAAACATCTCATATAAATTAACTTAATTATCAGTATTAAAGTAGAGTAAATGTGACCCTTCTATCACTTATTGACATCTGGACAATGTAAGCTAGGTGCCAGAGTGAGGAAGGAGGGGCAGCCATTGTTGATACTAGACCAGAGGCGCAGGGAGCAATTCGGCTCCTGTTAATTTTACTTGGACGTAGTGTTATGGAAACCAAAGGTGTACCATTATCAACACGCTGTCAACAAATCAAGTTAAGTGTTCTTTCCGAAACCCGTTTATTTTCATTTATGGCCATTAATGTAATTATATAGGGTGACCCGGTTAGAGCACGTGGTAGCCTCAAACTAAAGGTAATTAAGCCAGGTCTTCATTGTTCCATGTATAGTGTTTCTCTGATATACCTGTCATATATAGGATTCTGGCTTTACAGCTAGCGCCCTTTTGACAGGTCAAGACGAGGAAGCAAGGCTTTGTACATCAGTTACCAGGGTGATGGAAGCTACCTCAAAGAGGAAAAATGTGGTGTCTACAACCTAGTTACACCTGGTGGACTAAAGCTTGCTGTACAAATAAGATAAGGAACCTTTTCAATGTATGTAGTTAATACTGTAGTTAGATTGGCTGCATATATATAAATTAATTAATATAAACCCCCCCCTAATGTGAGATTGTGAGATTGAGATTATTGCAGAAATACAGTCCACTTAACATCATACAAATTGCTATCGAAGTATATAAATTAACGTAAATATAAATTCATATAAATTAAATAAATATAAATCTCACAGGTCGGTTCCCACACCCTGAGAGCACAGCACACTCCGTCAAAAAATCAATAATAGATTGGCTATCTCCTCCCCCCTCCTTCCTTAAATCCCCCCCCCCCACCACCACCTTAAATACCTGGGGAAAATTAAAGCAGGTACTGTGAGCGGCTCAGCGTAATACTCACTTGTGGATGGTTGTAGGAGAGACAAAAGGCGGCGGAGATTTGTGGGCCGTCGTAACAATGGCCGACATTCGCCTCCCCGCTCGCGTTTATCCCACCGCGGTGATTCCAGTCTTCGCCGGCGACCATTGTGGCCGCGCCTCCTAATGGGCCGAGTTCATCACGGCCGGGTTTTGTAGAGCAGTCAAGTACAGAGGGCTCACATTATGCTATCTCAGGGTGGCATTGAGCCCTCAGCAGCAGGCGGAGCTCCTACATGGACCCCGCCCACGCCCTCTGGAGGAACTCTCTCCGGGGCGCCCTAATATTGCCTTCGTCATTACGAGCCGCTCTTTATCCACGAGTCGACCAACGGAGCAGTTTAGCTGACGGAGATGGTGAAGGCCATCCAGTATTTTCTCCTGCTGCCGAAAATTCCTACCGGCTAATGCGCTGTCATTAAACTGTATTTAGGGTATTGCTTACATGAATTACTTGGTTCCTTCATTAGAAAATGTGCACATTTAGAGTCATGTAATAAATAAAGAAGCAGTTTTGGGTTATATGAAGCTGTATACATGTGTGCGCGCGCTACACACACACACACACACACACACACACACACACACACACACACACACACACACACACACACACAGAGACAGACAGACAGTTATAGGGGGCCTGACGGGGAGACATTATCACCACATTCAAAATTTTCAGGGGGAATTCACAAAGTAAACATGGATGGATTATTTAACACAGTGTCAGAGTAGTTAGTAAATGGAATGCATTAGGAAGTGATGTGGTGCAGTTTGACTCCATACACAGTTTCAAATGTAGATATGATGAAGCTCGAGAAGCTTAGGAATCTGTACAGCAGTAGATTGACGGTTGAGAGGCGGGACCAAAGAGCCCAAGCTCAGCAACCGCAAGCACAACTAGGTGAGTACACAGGTTAAGGGGCTTCGCGGCTGAGTGGACAGCGCTCTGGGGTCGTAGTCCTAAGTGCCCAGGTTCGATTCCCGGCGGAGACGGAAATTAATGAGTAGAGTTTCTTTCACCCTGATCCTGCTGTTCACCGAACAGTAAATAGGTACTTGGGAGTTAGATAGCTGCTAAGGGCTGCTTCCTGGGGATGTACTTACCTAGTTGTTCTTGTAGGGGTTGAGCTCTGGCTCTTTGGTCTCGCCTCTCAACTATCAATCAACACTCCTGAGCCTCTTGGGCTCTATCATATCTGCACTTGCAACTGTGTATGGAGTCAGCCTCCACCACATTACTTCCTAATGCATTCCATTTGTCAACTACTCTGACACTGAAAAAATTCTAATGTCTTTGTTGCTCATTTGGGCACTCAATTTCCACCAGTGTCCCCCTAGTGCGTGTGCCCCTTGTGTGAAATAGCCTCTCTTTATCTACCCTATAAATTCCTTTGAGAATCTTGTATGTGATGATCATGTACCCCCCTAACTCTTCTGTCTTCCAGTAACGTGAGGTTAAATTCCCGTAGTCTCTCCTCGTAGCTCATACCCCTCAGTTCGGGTACTAGTTTGGTGGCAAGCTTTTGAACCTTTTCCAGTTTAGTCTTAATTAAGCTTCATTAGATAAGGACTCCATGCTGGTGCTGCATACTTCAAGATTGGTCTGACATGTGTGGTATACAAAGTTCTGAAGGATTCCTTACACAAGTTATTAAAGACCGTTCTTATGTTAGCCAACCTGGCATATGCCGCACATGTTATTCTCTTAAAATGGGCTTCAGGGGACAGGCCTGGCGTGAAATCGACCCCAAAAGTTTTTCAATCTCTCTCTGACTCATGAAGAATTTCATTTCCCAGATGATACCTAGTATCTGGCCTCCTGCTCC